TTAAAAAATATTTAAACCTTAAGATTTTATAGATTTTTAAAATAAATATGATTTTTGATGAGAAGTGACTTGGCGCACCATATTAAATAATCTTATAATATTTATATATTTTCACCTATACTATATAAGATCCAAAAATGTTACAAATAACATTAAATAATTTTACTTTATGACTTTAAATTGCACTTGATATATGAATATATATATTTATTAAAAAAAGCTAACTTTATTACCAGCTAAGTCTATTTAATTTTCTGATTCTAAACTTTAGATTATAAATAATTTTTAAACTTACTTGCTTCAAAATTAGTAAATTCCAAAACCTTCAATATTTAGAAGAAATTTATTAATTGTAAGCAAAAGTTTAAAATTTTATAAGTAAAAATTTTATTTTTATAGTATTGTTTATAGTAATTTCTGAGATTCCTATTGGTTGTTATTTATATTACACAAATGATGTTGATCACAAGATTTTGTATAAATGCATATACTTTCTAAATACATCAAAAGGCTTTCCATAGATAGTATGCATTTAGACAGTGCCAACTGTATACTGTATTTACTAAGTAAAAAATCTATTTTAAAATTTATTTTATTAATTTTATTAATTGGTGATCCACCAGTCAACCAGAGAATAATCATAGTAAAAAGTGACTCAAATTACTTATAAAAATTGGGGGTCTTCAAATGTGGTGTGTGCGTATCTAAAACTTTTTTTATACTAAGTTAATCATCTTTCTAACTTAAGAGACTTTTGTAAAGCTTGTCAAAACGCATCTAATGGTGGTTAGAGCGTCAAAATCAGCTTGGTGGGTGCTGAGATATCTTTAAAAAACGTTTCTTTTACTATATAAACTTCTTTGCAAACAATAGTATTGTTTGCAAAAAAGTTTAAATAGTAAAAAAAATGTTTTTTAAAGGTATCTCAGCACCCACCAAGCTGATTTTGACGCTTTAACCACCATTAGATGCGTTTTGACAAGCTCTACAAAAGTCTCTTAAGTTAAACGGTGATTAACTTGGTATAAAAAAAAGTTTTAAATACGCACATGCCATATTTGAAGACCTTCAATTTTTATAAGTAATTTGAGTTACTTTTTATTATGATCATTCTTTGGTTGACTGGTGAATCACCAATTAAGAAATTTTTTTAAAAAAACTTTTAAATAATTAAGGTTTAAAAATTTTTTTTTAAATTTTTATTATAAAATTTTTTCGTTAAACTTTTTAAATTTTATATGTTTTCACCTATAAAAAATCTTTACTTCTAATACAAGTTATAATTTTTACAAGTTAATCACTAAAGTCAAATAATAAAGGTTGTAATCCTTAATCTAAACTTTAATATTGTATTAAAAATTATATTTTTAAAATCAATATTTAAGAAGTTCGTCAAAAAATAGTAAAAACTTTTTTGACTAAAAAATTACTTTATTTTTAGCTTATAAGTAACTTAAATTTTTTTCTTATAATATAAAAATAAATACTATAAAAAGATAATCCTTATTTTTAAATATTATTATATAAAATTTTATTTAAATATTTTAAATATTAAAAAAAATAAATCATAACTAAATTTATACTATTTTTAGCTAAAATTGTTCTACAAACTCTATAGCTTAAGAGATAGGTCTTGTATTTGCACCAAATATCTGTTTAAAATTGGGTTCATATCAGGATTTTTTGATGCTAATTTGAACCCGATTTGTCTTATTTTGACCTGTGCATTTATCCCTAGTGGTTAGTAGATTTTATAGCAAAATTATCAGCTGGGCATTTTTTACTTAATAAATAGCTATGATTTCATTAGTGTAATTTTGGGCAAAATTGATCATTTCTGGCCCTGCTGACCAGGATTTCGATACATTCCAACCAGAAATTTTAGGAATCTTCCTGTATGAGTTTAGAAATAGGGAGATCTTGATAATAATACATATGGGCAGATTGGCCTTAGCAAGAGGCACCAAATTTAATTTGAACTCCATATTTTCCTATATTTGATTGGTCAAATATACAAAACAATTACTTGATTATACCCTAATAATTTAAAACTATACCTTAAATAATTTTAAGGATATAATGATTATGCAAAATCATGCGTCCAACCCATCTACCTCAGCCCAAAACCCATCTTATTCCTACTGGTTAGAGACCTACTCAGACATTTCATTTGACGTCTAATCCTTATCAGGACATTATTAGGACATATAATTTGATGTATAAGCCCTACTAGGACATATCGTTTGACATCATGTATATTGGGGTGGTGCGTCTACTATTGCATGTTGAACCAAATTCGCCTATATGATTATTTTTGTATTATCTTCAAGATTTTTATAACAATACTGGTTTAACGTAAATTATGGAAACTTATTGTTATTATTTACTGTATTAGTATTATTATATTATTATTTACCCTATCTTAATATGCTCGTAGAGATATTCTTTAGTCTGTTTATACACAGACTCGTCATCTGAATAACAATAACTTTATTATTGTCATTATTATTATTAAATAAAACTTTTTTATAATTACACTTGTTTGTAGCTATCGAGAGATTAACTATACTACAGTTATATTGTATACAGTATTATCTAAAATTTTATTTAATTCTCAATCTTGTTTGATATAAGTCATATAATACAATAACGATAATTGAAAGTTTAAAACCATAAAATTAGTGTTGTTAGCCGATCGACTAACAGTCGACTGACTGAGTCATCGACTAAGTCGTCAGCTTAGTCGACTAAGCCATTAAGGGGCAAATTCAGGATATTGTTACTCGACCGGCTAGAACTTCTTTTTTTCGATACTAAACAATAAGCAAAGCTGCCCAATAAAAATCTTAAAAAGACAATAGTCGAACTTCGACCAATAAATTTTTAGTTTGTCGACTAAGTCGAATTAGTTGACTTAGTCGATCAGGGGTCGGCTAAGTCGACTAAGCCGACTAGCCTCTAATCGGCTTACAACACTACATAAAATACAACACGTCTTGGGGCACACCCTAACGCTAACCTAAAACCGACCAACTCAAAATTTAATACATACAAATAAGGAAATTTAAATAATTTAAATTTAACTCCGAACAATAAAGTAAGTTCAAGGGGTTACGGAAATCAACCAATCAAATTATTTTAATTTATCAAAAAAAAAATATAACGAACCCCTGTGAATTTTCGTAATACATAAATGAATGCTAGCGAATTCTTCCATACGGAGTTAGACACTAAAAGTTCCTGGTTTTGACAAAGCTCGTAAAATGAATGCAGATGCAAATGGTATCCAAGCTGAACCCGTCTCGGAAGAGAACAAAATAAAAGCCGAGGAAGCGAAAGAGGCTGCAAATAAACTATTTAATGGTGGGCTAATTTGTGTAGTTACTTTGAATTATATTTTTTTACATTAATAGGTACAGCTTAATCTACCTGCTATTAGCAAAGAATTATGAGGCTGCAATAGCCAAGTATACGGAAGCAATTGACTTGAATCCAAATGCTGCACAGTATTACGCCAATCGATCTTTTGCTCATATAAAGACTGAAGCATATGGTTTTGCTGTCGAAGATGCAGAACGTGCTGTCAAAGCCGATCCAACTTATGTTAAGGTGAGAGCTTGTTAGTTTATCGATTTGCAAAGAATCGGTAACATTTATTAGTTTTAATTACTGTAGGGTTATTATCGAAGAGCAGCAGCAAATATGGCGTTATGCAGATTTAAAGATGCACTTCAGGATTTTCGAATAGTGAGACTTTGTTTGAAAACAACCCTAGAACCCTGAATACTCTTATAATTATGATTATTCATGGTAATCCGAAGCCTGTCCATTTTGACAGGTATCGAAAAAAAATCCGAGCGACAAAGATGTAAAAACCAAATTAACAGAATGCAAGAAGATTGTGCAGAAAATTGAATTTGAAAAAGCCATTGAGGTATGTATTCTATACTAATGTGAATATTTATCCAAATTAATCTATACAAAAAAAAGCTGATATGAATTAACCATTTAGGTAGATTCACCCCAGAAAAATATTGCGGAAACGATAGATATAAATGCGTTCTGTGAGTTATACTAAAAAAAAAAAAAAAAAGAAAAAAACAATTGCTATATTAACAAAATTTCATTATGTAACTTTGAACCACATAAAAAGCTGTGGATTCATTTTACGATGGGCCAAAACTTGCGAACGGACAGGTTACGAAGGAATTTATTGAAGAGATGATGGAATGCTTTAAAAATCAAAAAAAGATTCATCGTAAATACGCATTTCAAGTATGTAAATACATCTCCTTTATTTATAAAACATGTTCTTGTAAAAATATGAGAATTAATGAAAGGGTTGAAACAGATAATTTTGACCGTGCGGAAAATGATGTTAGAATTACCATCGTTGGTGGACATAAATATACCTCAAAATTGCAAATTAACTGTGTGCGGAGATGTTCACGGTTAGTATTTGTTGATTTATTGTTGTTTGAAATAACAGTTTAGTATTATTAAAATACTTCTCTACAGGTCAATTCTATGATTTTCTCAATATTTTTAAGATCAATGGATTACCATCTGAAGAGAACATGTATCTTTTCAATGGTGATTTTGTTGATCGTGGATCATTTAGCGTTGAGGTTATACTGACTTTGTTCGCTTTTAAATGGTTATACCCGACTTCTGTCTATTTGACGAGAGGCAACCATGAGACGGATGATATGAACAAGGTTTATGGATTTGAAGGGGAGGTTAAGGCTAAATATACTGAACAGATGTTTGAATTATTTTCCGAGACATTTACTGCCCTCCCACTTGCACATCTTATCAACCAAAAAATCTTGGTAGTTCATGGTGGATTATTCAGCAAAGATGATGTCACACTAGATGATATTAGAAATATTGATAGAATTGACAAGAAACAACCTGAACATGGAAGCTTAATGTGTGAACTCCTGTGGTCTGGTAATTAAAATATGTTATTTTCAGAAAGGTTTGTTCTGATTAATAATATTAAGTTTCATGGCATTTATCTAATTTTTAGATCCGCAACCACTCCCGGGACGTGGCCCAAGTAAACGAGGCGTTGGAATACAATTTGGACCTGATGTCACTGAAAAGTTCTTGAAACGTAATAATATTGGTGTGTCTCAAATTATGCTTGTAAATTTGATAGTAATATTTCTTAGCTACTAAACGTATCTGTTCGGCTTGACCGCAAACTTAGATTTACTAATAAGAAGTCACGAGGTCAAAGAAAATGGTTATGTGGTCGAACATAACGGCAAATGCATTACTGTATTCTCCGCCCCCAATTACTGGTAACGAGATTTATATTATATGTATATTTTATTTTATTTTATTTCTAAATTAAATTAATCTTTCATCATATTAGCGATACCATTGGAAACAAAGGAGCATTAATTAATATTACGCCAGACTTACAGTTAGCTTATAAAACATTTGAAGCAGTGGTAAGAATTTTTTCATTTTTTTTCATTAATAGTTACTCTGAACTGTATAATTAAATTGTTTTTATTTAACAGCCCCATCCCAATGTTCGGCCTATGGCTTATGCGAGCCAATTTGGTGGTTTATTTACTTAATGTTACTCATAATAGGTATTACTTGGCCAATGCGTTTTTGAAAAATAGGAAATTTTTTTTGGTCGTGTGATTTTATATATTAAAGTTTTCACAATATTTTCAGGTATATATATATGTATAATGCAATGTAATGGAAATATAATGGATGGTGTAAAAATTTGATATTTTAAATGCTTTAGTTGTTTAACTAGTGCAATTTGCAATGTTTAAGAATAATTGTACCACAAAAGTTTAGTAGTTGAAATTTTATTAAAGGCTTATTATCGTTATAGAGATTATTTAGCAATTCAACAAAGCAAGATACCACCACTAATATTTGTCATTGTAGGTATCAAAGTTATGGCGCAAGAAAATTTGGTCACGTGACTAACCTAACGCCGCTATAAAAAAATATAATACACAAAATCCGGCTTACTGGTTTTTCATCTTGTTTTCTTTAATTCGAATTTGTGTTACACGTGGATCATTCCGATTGGACATTAATCACAGGACTTACAAACTTTAGCACCATAACTACTTTATTGCTTATCGTAAATAGAAATGGCAATAATTATAATTTTTTTTTATCGTTTGGTAATAAATGGAGAAGGAATCCAACTCGATGTGTAGTTATAGATGAAATGCTTAGTAATCAAAAAGAACATGACAACCTACCTTTATGATAAGTTGTTAATGTCCGCTAACTAAATTTACTTATAAAAACCTGCACTCATAACATTAACTCCATCCACATAATAAGTAAAATATGGCTCAAAATGACAAAAGAATGATTACCCAACTCGCCTCATGATTAAGTTGATCCAATTCGGCATTAATACTCACCAAATTTATCATAGTATTATGTCAAGCACCAAAAAGTTGGCATTGTTTGATGTTTGTACGCCAAAACACTTACCCACACTTACCCACAAATAAATAAAAATTGCGACAAAAAGATGTAGCAAAAAATATCTAATGTTACCTATTTTTACCTATTTTTTTTAAACAATAACATGAACAGCAATTTGGTTTCGATTCTGTCCTAAAACCATAATTTGGAAGATCAACCAAGACTAAAAACACAATGGGCTTTTGAACAAATACAAACCATGTTGCATAGATCAGATGAATCGACATTGACCATAGCAAACATTCGACACGTGAAATCTTCGAATTTTCATAAGAACTTACCCAACTATTTTTACCACATTACATATACACTCATAAAATAATAATAATAATAATAATAGTAGTCTACGAATAATAGATTATCTGCGCTCCCTTCTTCTATCTCTATCCCTATTTTTCGAACCATACCTATCGTCTCTATATCCTCCTGGACTTCTCGAGCGGCTGCGACCACTACGCCGTCTGTAATCACGATCATTACTACTACTACCTACCCCACCTCTATCGTTATACCTGCTGCCACCGTATCTACCACCATTACTACTTCCACCATGACCGTAACCAGCGCTTGTCACAGCACGTGAAGAATAGCTGGAGCGATAATCTTTGTCGTAACCAATAAGATGTGAAAAGCCCGGACTAATAGCATATGAACCTTCTCTACCCGAATATTTTTGATTTTGGTCAGGACCGCCTATTCTGGTTCCTCCAAGTCCACCACCTTTTTAAACATTTTATTAAATATCAATATCTATTAACTCAGTCACGTAAAATACATTTGCAATGTATATATAAAAAAAAACTTACCAAGTCTACGAGGCCGCCAACCCTTGACAGTCCGACCACGCTCTACATCAACAAGTATACGTCGTCCTAAAAGTTTAACGCCGTCGGCATCTTTGTACGCGGCTATTAATTTTAAGGCGCAAAATTTCGATCGATTATATAGTCAAAAACCTTTAAGTTGCGACATGGTTAATATTAATGGTTTACCTTTCATATCCTTTTCTCGCTCAAATTCAATAAACGCATAACCTCGAGGTTTTCCATTCAATTTGTTTTTCACAATTCGTATCTATTTTATATTGAAAGCAAAAAACATGTTTATGATACTTATTTAAAGCAATCTTTTTTTTTTTTTTTTCTTCTGAGAACAAACTTACATTTTCGATAGGACCATACATTTCAAATTCTCTTCGTAAATCTTTTTCAGCCATCTCAAAGCTCTATAAAATGAAATATCAATTTAATAGGTTTTATTGACAAAATGCAAAACATTAAAATTTATCATCAGAATATACCATTCGAGCGACAAATAATGTTTTAAACGGATCCCCAGTCACGTTTTCATCTTTGTTAGGATCCCCTGTTAAGACAGAGGTGACCGGATATAAACATTAGTATCATAAAAAGGGTATAATTAATTTTGTTGAAATAAAAATCTATTAAACTTGCATTCTTCAAGGCCTTTCTTGATTGCTTCTTCTGCTTTTTGCTTTTTTTCAATCGCCTTGTGAAAAAAAAAAATAAAATAAAATAAAAAAAAATAAAAAAAAATAACCAAAATTAATAAACTATCAAACATAGTCTCATAAAAGTACTTACTTTTCGCTTCTTTTTCTCTTCAACAGTTTCTGTTGGAACGTAGTCTGGATCATATTCTTTTAATAAATGCACCAATTGACCAACCCCAGTGATTGTAGGACCCTTGCGTTTTGCGGGATCTCTGTCTAACGGTTTTGAATACGGGAGTGGAGGCCTCGGTGCGAACAGAGCCAACAAATTTGGTGGTAATTTATCGGTCATAATTTAATCAATATAGCAATAGACGAATAGACGTTAAAAAGGGTCCTCTAAAACAACAAAAAAAAATTTTGCATATGTATTTTTTCGGAATTTGAAATCCGCGAGTAACAAGAAAAAAAAAATTATGAACACGTGATTTTATACAGGACTTCTCAAGACAAATGGGGCAAAATTTAACGTTAATGTAGGCCAGGAAGTCCAGGATTAATCGGTAGGAACAATAGTAGATAACAATGAGTAAAAATAGGTTAGATGTCATTTTTAGTATTACTTGGCCATATAAAATTAACACTAAAATAATTGAAAGGAAGAAAAAATTCCCGTGATATTAAGAAATCTTTTTAATAAAAACAGCGAAATTTTATTACTGTTGTAAATCAGTCCCAAAGGGTAAAAATTCCAAATAGTAAAAAAGCCATTATATGACTAATCTATATATGCGAGTCAGTACGTAGAAACCAAGCAAACTATTTTTAGTAAGTTTTTTCAAACCTTTAAATTAAAAAAAAATTTACTTAGAAACAATTTGCTTGGTTTCTACGGACATCCCCATATCGATATACTGTAAATGAATTATTAAATCAAAATAATACCGATTTTTATTATATACCGTATATACCGCCTTTTACATGCAAAATCAAAAAAAATTTTAGCAAGCAAATTTGTCTACTAGATAGTTTAAAAGACAATTTTGTTATTATTATTAATTGTTAAAACTAAAAATTTTGTAACTTTAATTTAGTATATCTACAACTTTGTTAACTAGAATAAAGTTAACATAATTTTTAGTTAATAAAAAATATTTTAATTATTTATATTTTATATTGCAAATATTTTTTAATGAAAATCGAAATTTTTGTAAAAAAAAATCTGTAAAGTTCCAAACCAGAATATTTTTAATTATGACCCAGTTTTATAATAAAAGTATCTAAACTAATTTTAAGTTTTAAAAATCTATAAAAAACAAAAAAATTTACACATTTTATTAAATAACAAAAAAAAATCAATCATTAATTAGAGTTAAGAAGATTAATCTTTATTAGCAATGATTATCCGCCAACCTCTATTTCTTCCATTAGCACCATTTCATATCTATCGCGATCAACATCAGCACTTATTTTCGTTTTAACAGCGACACTACTGGCACCAGCTGTGCTGCTACCTTCGCCAGAGTCTTCGTTTAACAAGATAGGTTCCATCTCTTTTCGCATACAATAAAGTTCACCCCCAAAGATCATGATACAACATGTTACTACATTTAGTGCCCACCATATGAAAGTTGTAGGTATTTGACCAGAATAGTAACTCGTGATCACCAAATGAAAGAAATGAAGGGTCAAACTAAAATCAAGAACGAGTCTTGCACGTTGTACAACCCGTACTAAGAGGTAAATTCTGATAGAATTAATGTAGAATAATTAAAAATCAGGAAAAAAGATAAATATACGCACTAAAGTCCCTTGTTTTTAAAAGGAAAACTAACTCACCCTACGACAGAGTTTGCGATCCACGCAAAACCTATTGTCCATCCCAACACAGTATCAGCTCTAAACTCTCGATAGTCTAATAAGTGATCTAACGTTATATCATTTCCTGTAAGTAAAAGTGTGAAGAGCGTGATGATAGAGATAGAAGTGTAATATAAGGCTTGAAGAGAAATGATCTGAAAGAAAAAAAAGTGAGTATACATATATATACACATAAAAAGTCATTAACATGACCTTCATTTCTTTATTTCTTCACCTGTGAAATGATGAGAATTGGATCCCACACAGTTGTGCGAAAGGTTTGGTTTCTACGCATTTTTTCTTATCGTTATGCAAAAGTGGAATTTCATAGTCCTGGTTTGTGTAAACTATAAGCCCTTAATTTATTGATGTATATATTTAAAACGGTACATAAGTATTTATATATATATATATCAACATATTTTAAAAGTATCGTGATTAGGCATATGTAGAATCTGTGCTCGGTTTTTGATCACGTGATGACGATCATTTGTACTAAGTAAAAATAAAAATTATTAA